GCTGTTTTGGCATTGCAAAGACTTCAAAAAAGCTGTGCATTGTCTCAATAAACAATGCTAGTTTGTAATAGTCTACTACATTTCCATAGCCTAGCATTCAGAACAGCAAGCTAGGATGCTGTCTAATGCAAATTGCATAGTAATTTAGTGGATTGGGTGCTGAAACAACATGAAAATGCATGACAATATTCTTCATATGTGCAGTGTTTGCACATATTTAGAGTGTGTGAGCTGTGCCGAGTGATGAAGTTGAAACGTCCGTGTTTTCGCTCACTTCAAGGTTGATTCAAGTATTGACTCCATAAGAAAATAATATATACGTGCAAACTGAATATGATGTTTTCAGGCACTTAATTACATGTAATTTAAATGTTAACAATATAGGATGAATGTTAACATTATTATAAGTTTAAATAAATACTAAATGCAATTAGTTGAACATAAGAGTGTTTTTGACCCACTATGCACTGACATGCATTAATGATCAACTAAAATATACTTTAATGTAATTTTTATTAAAACTTATATGTCATGTATTTAAATCTATCGCAGTTAGAACTGGCCGGCAAGCTGGGTCGCTGCATTGTGCAACCTGTGCTCAGCACAGATTTTTATTTTGTATTTTTTTTATTTTACAGGAAATATACAGGTGCATCTCAATAAATTAGAATGTCGTGGAAAAGTTCATTTATTTCAGTAATTCAACTCAAATTGTGAAACTCGTGTATTAAATAAATTCAATGCACACAGACTGAAGTAGTTTAAGTCTTTGGTTATTTTAATTGTGATGATTCTGGCTCACATTTAACAAAAACCCACCAATTCACTATCTCAACAAATTAGAATATGGTGACATGCCAATCAGCTTGTAATTTAAATGTTAACAATATAGGATGAATGTTAAAATTATTATGTTTAAGTTTTAAAAAATACTAAATGCAATTAGTTGAACATAAGAGTGTTTTTGACCCACTATGCACTGACATGCATTAATGATCAACTAAAATATACTTTAATGTAATTTTTATTAAAACTTATATGTCATGTATTTAAATCTATCGCAGTTAGAACTGGCCGGCAAGCTGGGTCGCTGCATTGTGCAACCTGTGCTCAGCACAGATTTTTATTTTGTATTTTTTTTATTTTACAGGAAATATACAGGTGCATCTCAATAAATTAGAATGTCGTGGAAAAGTTCAATTATTTCAGTAATTCAACTCAAATTGTGAAACTCGTGTATTAAATAAATTCAATGCACACAGACTGAAGTAGTTTAAGTCTTTGGTTATTTTAATTGTGATGATTCTGGCTCACATTTAACAAAAACCCACCAATTCACTATCTCAACAAATTAGAATATGGTGACATGCCAATCAGCTAATCAACTCAAAACACCTGCAAAGGTTTCCTGAGCCTTCAAAACGTTCATACACGAGTTTCACAATTTGAGTTGAATTACTGAAATAAATGAACTTTTCCACGACATTCTAATTTATTGAGATGCACCTGTATTTTAAAGAATTTGCACAATTTAGTGAATCAGATGCTGAAACATCACTGACAGTGCATGCAAATATGCTTCATATGTGCAGTATTTTCAATAAATTGTTAGTGTGTGAGCAGAGCGATGAATGAAGTTGCCTGTTTTTGCCCCAAGTGTCAGTGTTTTCTCTTACTCCATCAAGACCATAACACATTAACGGCCCATGAATTCACAACATTAGACTATTACCAATCCGAATTTGTGAAATATTATTAGAAAGAATATGAATTCCTAAATGCTATCCGTCTCAGGACAGTGCACTGAGTTACTCTTTCTCTTTCATGTCTACGGGCCCTGTAGCAACCGCTGCCATTGATCTGAGGGAATTCAGTGGCATCTCCCTGGTGAATTTAATAAATGTGTTGATTGACACTTTCCTTGATGACTTTCTCCACGGGAGAGCAATAAAAATATCAGAGCTAGAGTTTGAAATAATGATAGCCTTCCAAAGAGGATTCATGGACCATGGAAATGTCCCTGACATTAACATGGGGTAATTTTGTCGCCCATTGATTGAGGGACTAAAAAGTAGAAATGCTATTATTGTGGTGTCGACATAATGTGATGTGTTGAGGAGTGGTAAGTACCCAGACTCATGTGCATTGAGACGGATCATTACCGGTTGGGTTCGTTTTATGAAATGGGAGTCAGGAAAGATGTGGACTTCAATTGCTCCCAAAATAGTGTCTTAAGAGTGGACGTGCTAGGGGAATATTATATACTAAAACCATGTGGCGATATATAATGGTTTATATTGTTACTTTCTGTTATTTTTGTAATATTAATGTTTTATTGTTATTTTTTCATATTTAATAACATTTTTACTTTTAATCAATCAAACATTCAATCAATCAATCAATCAATCAATCATGGACATTGAGACAAATCACTGACTGATCATTGTCTGGTTCATATTATTTTTATTTATAATTTATTTAATTGATTTGTATTGCATTTTTTATCAACATTTTTTTTTTAAATGAACTTTTTTTTTCCTTTTTATTTTTTATTTAATTTTAATTTAAATTTTACTTTTTTTTTTTTATTGATTTCATGTATCTGTTTTTATTATTTATTTAAATAAATTATGTTTATTTAATTTTAAATTGTATTTGTGCTTATACAGTACATACTGTACACATATACAAGTGTGTGTGCGTGTGTGTTTGTGTGTGCAAACCAAAAAAAATAAGATATTTTTTTTATATTTTATTTTAATATCCATTGTCTGCAATATGTTTGAGAAAGAAAAAAAAAATCAAAAACAAGAATCCTTTGATTCATCTAACATACAAGCAGATTTACTCCCAAATTATCACAATAACAATTATGTTTGAGGCGTTGTGCTTGTTAGCTGTGGCTGTTTTGGGGATAGTTAAGCCATGTTGTGCGTCTCTGCAGTGATGTCTTTGACACAGCTGATGAAGAGGTTTTCATGGTGGGCTGCTCGCTTCACTCATCAAGCGTTTGATGTGCACACACAGATACGGGCGCTGCCGCTGTTTGTTTTCCATGACCGTGTTCCCCAGCGACTCTGAGAAGCAGCCAGACATGATTCATCAACCAGGGAACAGCACATGGAAAACTAACCAACAGCAACAGATGTAGCCGATATCTCAAAAACAGAAAATTAAACTCTGGGCATCTGTCCTGCTGGCTGCTAGATTGGCCAATATGAGTCTATGTTGTGATGCTATCATAATGGAACAAACGGAAGCTTTATTGTAACCTAGAAAGTGTGTGTGGCATCATCCCAGACTGGGAGAGAAGGATGGAGAAGACGGCCTCATCATCTCCAGCACATGTCCCACGACATCCAGATGAATATTGAAATTTCATCTGCCCCGGTGCAAAAACGGAATAAATAAATCTATCAAAATCCGATCTTTGTTGCTGCTGATTACACACGACTACAGTACCTTTGTGGAAAAAAAGTTGTATTATATTTTCACTTGTAATGTGTTTAAAATCTTAATAGT